GGGGTATACCTTCTTGAGGATCCCATGTCTCTGCCAAGCTTGTCAAAAGACTCTATTTTTTTCTCTTGGGAAGAAGACAAACTCCACCTCCCTGACAGGATGTGAGTAGAATTTCCATAAGAAGACCCTTACTGAGATTTCCTCTCCAAAAACTCTCTCCTGTGGCTATTACTGTGAAAGGAAGTGATCTGACCCAATATTAGTAAAAAGCAAGACACTCTGAATGATAGCTACTAGTATTGTAGTAGTGATAGTTAAAAGAACCTTTTCAGTATAAACTTATGTTCATGTGTGTTTAACTCTTTTTAAATTTCCTTTTTTTGGGTGTGTGTTAGCTCATGGGTGAATTTTGGAGGAAAACTTGAAGAAAATACTGACTTTTTAAATTATATGAATGTTAAAAATGTTTAAGAATTAGATTAATTATAATATTTTATAACAATATTTAAACTTTACACTCTATTCTATAGATTATAGACCAGAGATGCACACTATAGACCAAGGCCAAATCTACACTCTCTCTCTCTCTCGATATAAAAAGTTTTTCCTGATGGGTGACAGAATGATGTCATCACACTCTCATGCTCTCTGGCTGCAGAAGCCACCAAGGAAAGGGATTGGGCAGCATAGTGAGCACAGGGCACAGGCCACTATTATTAGTATAATTATGTTGCTCCGTGAAAAATCTACACCCATGAGTGATGTTGTTATACTGACCTTGCCACCCAAGTAAACAGTGTTATGGCCCATCAACATAGCTACCACTTCTCATGGAAGTGGATTAATTATGCTGACAGAAGTTCTGCATGGTTGTAGAGCTGTATGTAAAGACAAGCCCTGTATATAACACGAAACCCCAGGAAATTTTACATTCTAATCTCAGCTCTTAATTTACTCCATTTGTAGTGTTACATAAATTACTTAATTTCACTTTGTGTTAATTTCTTCATCTCCCCAATGGCAGTAAAGCTTACCCAGTTCACTGGTGAGAATTAATTAGATGTGGTATACCTAGACTTTATAGCAAGGCATTTGATATGGTCGCACGTGATCTTCTTATCAATAAACTAGACAAATACAATTTTGATGGGGCTACTATAAGGTGGGTGCATAACCGTTCTCAGGGAGTAATTATTAACTGTTCACAATCATGCTGGAAAGGTGTAACAAGTGGGATTCTGCAGGGGTCTGTTTCAGGACTGGTTCTGTTCAATATCTTCAACGATTTAGCTATTGGCCTAGAGAGTATGCTTATTAAATCTGCAGATGGGAGAGGTTGCAAATGCTTTGGAGAACAGGGTCATAATTTAAAATGCTCTGGACAAACTGGAGAAATGATCTGAGGTAAACAGGATGAAGTTTAACAAGGACAAATACAAAGTACTCCACTTAGGAAGGAACAATACATTTCACACGTACAAAATTGAAAGCGACTGTCTAGGAAGGTGTACTGCAGAAAGGAATATTGGGGTCATATGGACCACAAACTAAATATGAGTCAACAGTGTGATGCTGTTGCAAAAAAAGCAAACAAGTTTCTGAGATGCATTAAAAGTAGTGTTGTGAGCAAGACACAAGAAGTCATTCTTCCACTCTACTCTGCACTGACTAGGTCACAGCTGGAGTATTGTGTCTAGTTCTGGGTACCACATTTTAAGAAAGATGTGGAGAAATTGGAGAAGGTCCAGATAAGAGCAACAAGAATGATTAAAGGTCTATAGAACATGACCTATGAGGGAAGACTGAAAGAATTGGGCTTGTTTAGTTTAAAAAAGAGAAGACTGAGAGGGGAATGATAGCTATTTTCAGGTACCTAAAAGAGTGTTACAAGGGGGAGGGAGAAAAATCCTTGGCCTCTGAGGATAGGATAAGGAGCAATGGGCTTAAACTGCAGCAAAGGAGGTTTACGTTGGACATTAGAAAAAACTTCCTGTCAGAGTGGTTAAACACTGGAATAAATCTCCATCTCTGGAGATATTTAAGAGCAGGTTAGATAGACATCTATCAGGGATGATCTAGACAGTACTTTGTCCTGCTGTGAGGGTGGGGGACTGGACTCAATGACCTCTCGAGGTCCCTTCTAGTTCTAGTGTTCTATGATCCTATGATCACTTCACAGTTTATTGCTACACTCATGTTGTTCCTAGAACTCCAGCTGGAAGAGTGGATATGGTGTAAGTGAACAGGGAATACATCAATTTGAAATTCAGATTTATCTTTGACAGTGTATCCATTAAAAGTATAAATAGCACCTAAGATATTAGCGTGACAAGGTAGGGATTTATAATGGATCTTCCTTTAAATGCTACTTATGTGGTAAATCTAAGTTGGTTTTCTTCTCTCTCTGTCATCAGGTCCACAGAAGCTATTGGCATCATGTGGGCATTATGTTCAGCCTTGAATACTCAAGGATCTCAAAAGGCCAAATAAGGAATAAAAGCCACCCTATCTAGTCCTCACATAAAAGGATGATGATGAGTGGAAGTTAGAGGAAAAAAATAGAAGAATCTTCCATCTTGTGAGGGATTCCATATATCCACATTGTAGAAAAAGTTTTTTGAAAAACTGTGATCTATGATTCCAACTCAGCAGAAGATAATTTTCATAGCTGCAAAATGCTAGATTAGAAGCTGTCCACTAGAAAGAAGAACTCAGGTGGCTGCAAAATTATTATCTCGATAGTCAAAACTTGGAATGCAACATTATATGGGATGGGGCCCCTGAGGCAGCTGTGTAATTGTAGAATATCCTCTCCCCAATAACACATACATTTTAGATAATTTTCCCAAAACTGCATTAAATGAAATCTTTTTTGTAGCCAAATTGATAAGGGGCTAAATATGGAGCCAGACTTCTCAAATGTCAGTTTTTCAGGGGAATTACTCCTGTTATAGAATGTGGTAACTCCAACAGACTGTGCAGCCAAAGGTGAATTGTCCTGAAAAATGAATTAACAGTTTAGAGAGCAAAGAGATCATCTGAATTATCCTCTACTAGGTAGTTTTAGAACTTGCCACCAAAGCCCTGGTGGCTATATTTATGCAGATTTTTTTCTGGATAAATCTTCACGAACTGTTGCAGGCAAATCAGAAGGCCATACATACTTTTGTTCATTTCCTAAGTTACTACAAGTGGTTTGAGTGAACCTGCAAAGCTTGTCTTTCTTGATCTGCCAGCAACTTCCTAGCATCTTTTTAACAAGGAAAATCTAAAATTAACCATGGCATTACATGCAAATTCATTTTAGATATACCTAAATATCCTTTTGCTTTATATTAAAATTTTATTTTTGTCAGCAACACTTTTCAGGAGTGCAATTTCTGGGTTGAAAAGTACATATAATAGCTTTGGAAGGGACATCTAGGAGTCGGAATGCAATAATTCTGCAACTGCATGGAAAGAAAACATCAAGATACTAAAAACTGAGGTGGATGCATCTCAACCCAGCACATGTATCCATCTAATCAATCTAGTAATTCAATGTGCCTACCACCATAGTATCCAACATGGATGTTTCACAGTGTTTGCAATTTTCTATCTTTTTAGGTACTTCTATGCCCCCGATTGTCATAGTGTCAGAAGACCTCATAAAATCAATGAATTTATCCTCATAATACCCTGCTGAAACAGAAGTTTTATCCTAGACTTACAAATGAGGAATGGGGTTACAGAGAAAATGGTTTCCCAATTTAGTAAGGTACAGTACTTAAGCATGTACTTATCATTTAAGCACCAATAGGCCCATTAACTTCTCATGTGATTAAAGTTAGGCACATGATTAAGTACCTTGATGAATCAAGGATTAGATCATTTCCCCAAATATTTATTTTATGAAGGTTATAACCTTATTACTCATCTGTACAATAAACATATTGCATGCCTGCCAAATTAATAAAATCCAAGTGTTGATATATTACAAAGGAAAATATCAGGTAAATTTTTCCACTGGAATTATTTTATATCACTTTCCTATGGTGTAGGAAACAGTTGAAAAAGCAGAGCAAATTCATAAAAAGTCCTTCTTTAGAGAGGCTGCTACTGATTGTATTTGTATGCCCACTGCATGATTTTTCCTAAACAATTACTAGTCCTCTTCTACTTAAATTTGGGGCTTTAATAATTTAAATCATACCATGTTGTTTATTTAATTTATATGCTGTTACAATATTTGTAAATGAATATACTTATGTACAAATTAAAAATAAAACAGTGCTGAAACACTGTCAAACATTGTCATTCCAAAATTTGAATTGGCTAAGGGGAAAGAACCAACAAAATGTCTCATATTGCCACAAAAGGGGCATATTATTACTATTATTGCCTATGGGTGAAATCTAAGCCACTTTGAAGTTGATGAGGATTTCACTCAAATTTATGATACATTTCAGTAAAGAATGATTAATATAAAATATTTTGAATTGTAACTGTTTTAATTTCAATTAAAACATAATTCAGATTAAAATAGACATAACATTATACAGTCAATGTCATATTAGGAAAGCTGAGTTGGTATGTTATGGCTTGGATATTTTAGCTCCTTTCATTCTTTAATAGCCCTGCAGTTTAAGCATGTTGAAAGAAGCAAGCTTAAAACAAGTAGCTAATAAAGCCATGTAGTGTTAAGTGAATATTACAAATATCTGGCTACATTAGTGATAAAAAGAACCCCTAGGCTGCGTCTAGACTGGCAAGTTTTTCCGCAAAAGCAGTTGCCAGCTGTCTACACTGGCCGCTTGATTTTGTGCAAAAGTACTGACGTTCTACTGTCTGAAATCAGTGCTTCTTGCGCAAATGCTTTGACGTTCCTGTTCAGGCAAAAGCCCTTTTCCAGAAATGTTTTTGCGCAAGAGGGCCAGTGTAGACAGCTATGGAAAAGCGCGTCTACATTGGCACGGACACTTTTCTGCAAAAAGTGCTTTTGTGGAAAAGCGTCCGTGCCAATCTAGACGCTCTTTTCCACAAACGCTTTTAATGGAAAAACTTTTCCGTTAAAAGCATTTGTGGAAAATCATGCCAGTCTAGACGTAGCCCTATACTTTCTGAAAATGTCTCTTTCCTGGGCTTTTCTTCACTGGACAGCTACATATACTGGTTTTAAAACTCTGTTTTAACATATCTCATACAAGACTCATTACTATCATATTATTACTATGCCTACACTATCATAGTGTTACCATTTTATAATACTTGTTCTCAGAGTATGGTATAACGAAGTACAGTATATTTTCTGAAGTAAAGTAAATGTATTATATACAATAGTAAATACCTCACCTCGGGTGTTAAATACTTTCCCCTTAGTAAACAATATGAATTCTTTGTTAGAAGAAGAGACTTAAGTAAGTAAAGCTTTTTTACAATGCAATACTGGGACATTATTTTCATATACGTTAGTTATGAAAATTTGTATTCTTTATATAGAAAAGTCCAAAATACAACTGCATGTTGTTTACAGCCAATTTTTTTGCTTTTCTCAAATTAGACTACAACTTTTAAAATTAAGTTCCCAAAAGCTGAAACTATTTCTCCTTGTTTGACTCTGCACACAAAGATCAGAAAGTCTTGCATGCAAAGATGCACAGCTGAGTTAGTTTAAATTGTATTTTTCCATAAAGTACATGGAAACTGTGCAATATTTCTTCCTTTCAGAGACTTTAGTTAAGTCTTTCTTCCCATAGATAATGGTTGGCAGCAGTGCACAGTGCAGAAGTTGTGTGCTGCACTTCTGAATAAAGTCTTCAATTGAGCCATTGTTTCCACTGAGATAGCCTGCATTTTTCGCTGGACAGAGAGCAGGGTGTAAAAAAGGCACCTTGTGTGCAACTGTTGGCAAGGCTTGGAAGTGAATTAAAATCTCCACAAGGTCTGGGTAGTGCAGTTCTACTCGGTATTGAGCTCTTTGGACGCACAGTTAGCTCAGACATTCCAATGCAGTGAGGCAGCAGGAGGGACACGACTCTACAGTCGAACGGGGGGAAAGCCAACTCTTTAGAGAGATTAGTCTCTATACTGAACTTTCATTCACAACGCGTGAGACACACGATGGCTCTGGACCAGCTTCTATTCTGCAAAGATTTGGAAAAGGCTCCGTTATCCAGTGATCTTGAGTCACTGGGTATTACCACTTAAATAGAATGAGTTGTCTGCGGCTGCCAGAGGTAAGCAAAACGTTTACATGGTATGAGGAAAGGCTAAAAACAAATTAGCAAGGTGCAGATCAGCTGCTGTGATGTTGGAACTTTTTGGGGAAAGTTACTATCTCCTTTGAGATTGGTCTTTATCCAGATCCTTTCCTTCTCCTAGGCTCTGGTGTAATTTGATCTTTACAAACAAAATCAAATGTAAAAACAGTTAAAGGCATTTGCGTGATTATCCTAGCATAGCATTTTGGAAATTTCAGACGCCAGATAGTTTGCTGTAGTGTCCTTAATACACCAAGTTCTTCAGTGGCTTAATTGATTTCAGCAGCGAAGTCCTAAACTTGAGAGACTTTGAAGTTGCACCATAATCCAGGAGCAGGCTGCAGCTCTAAAAGAGACGAAAGGTACAGGGATAATAGCTGTAGAACGCTGTCCTATTCGTGCTTAAAAAGCAAACGAGTTGCAGCTGAGAGGAGTAGGACTGCAATGCAGAGGTGTTTCTAACCATTTAAACTCTCCCTCCGTGCATGGAGCACTATATATTTTATGGCGCAAACGCTTTGGATAGGGAGATATGTAAGTGCATGTAACAGTTTTAGCATGAATGGAAAGGCAATGAGTTTAAAACCTCACAGTAGCATACATAACCATGGAGACTCACGAAGGGCGGGGAGAAGGGTCTGTGTGGAAGGCTCCGCCGCAGTTTGCCCTGATGGTGCCTCCTTCTTGCGCTTAGAGGTGGGTGCAAAAACCCTTTTTCCCGTGAGCATGGGGATGCGAGGGAGGGGAGGATCAAGAACCCTCTGGGGTAGTACAAATAATCCAGCCCCGCATGGTGGCTGGTAGGGGAGAGATTGCGGGTCCTTTGGCGTTGCACAGCGACCCGGGGTATGCCCGTAAATCGATGCCTCTGAGGCGCTGGTGGCGGTATGTAACCCCTCTGTGCTTATTCGGAGCGCCACGGGGAGAGCTGCAGAGCTAGCCACCCCTCCCCCCGGCTCAGAGCCCAGGGAGAGGGAGGAGGCGGTGCGGCAGGCAGTAGTGCCCAGCGTGCTGGGCTGTTTGTCCTGTTGCTAATGACTCAAAGGTGCTTCCCTGCTCTGTAGCTCTGCCTCGCCCACCTCCGCTGGGGGGGCGGAGAAGGCCGGGCGCGTTTCCCTGTGGGGGAATCCGGCCGGCACTAGTCCTCTCCTCTCCCCACCTCTTGGGCCGAACGAGCCCCCTGCTCTCCCCGCTGCGCCTCCTTCCGCCCAGCTAGGCGTCGCGAGCCCGCCAGGCCACCTCCCCCCACGGTCAGCCGGAGCGGCCGCCGCGCGCGCTTC